AGTAATAAATTATAAAAAATACTCATTATATGCAATAGTTACCTTAAAGTTGTTACTCAATATGAGTGATTTAACTAAGATCAACCAACAAACAACTTTGGATAAAGTTAAAAACTCTTTTGAGCAATAAATAAATAACTAGAAGAAATAAAAAATTAAATTGAAGTATGATACAAATAGAGGTTTTGAAGTGGAATCTCAGTTTGTTTTTCATTGTAATGGTGATAACCAAATTTTCTGTTAATGCCATTGTTGGCGCCATTTTTGTTAAATAAATAAAAATCTTTACAACTTCTTTAAAATCAAATTACAATAACTAATTACTAAATTTACTAACAAAATAACTCAACAATTTAACAATAAAACCTAAATTTTCTTTTCTATAATGAAAACTTATCAAATTATTATTTTTATTTAATATAAAACCATTTTAAAAATCAAATTTAAAATTTGATAATAAAGATAAATACTTACGTAGGTCTAACCTTTAGCAAGCTAAAAAAAATTATAAAACATAACTATACCATATATAAAACATAACTATAACATATATAAAACATAACTATAACAGAAAATTAAAAATTTATAAATGAAATAATTTTTACTTATGGTCCATTGTCATCACTAATAAAATAAATATATAATCGATGAAATATCATTTTTAAAAAAAGATATTTTTTTTTGTTTATGCTTAAGTTAAAAAATGTTAAAAACCAAAGTACAATACCTATCTTGGATCTTTTTTTTTTGTGTGTGTGCAGAATATCTGCCTTGATAAGTCTTATAATTTTGAAAAAAATATTTTTAATTTCTTTTTATTCTAAATATAAATAATGAACTTAATGATTAACTATAATACTCATAACTAACTTTTTAACCCTTACACCTTTGAGTGCTTTTTTATCTAAATATAAACAAATATGAACACAAAAATGATATAAATATTTTATAATAGACATTTTATTAATTAATTCATGTACAGTCTTGTGGAATTGAAATGAAAACACTTTTGAAACTTGATTAATTTTTGTTTAAACAACATCTAACGATATTATTAAAGAAAGTATTAATGTTGGTACAACTTGGATATTTGTATAGAGTGTATAAATTTGTATAAATTTTTAGAAAAGGAATTAATCAATGTTTTAATAACCACCATTAGTAGAATTAAAAATAACATGGTGAGAATTAAAAGAAAAGATGATTTAAATGGCAAAAAAGTTTAACATTGGCATCGACCATTAAAGCTAAATTTATGTTAACTTTTTCAGATGAAAAACTTATTAATAAAAAGACAAACCACTAAATAGTTCTGAGTTATCTAGAAAAGTTTAAGATATCAAGAAAGTCAATTAAATGTTACATTGATAAAATGTTCAATTTAAAAAAAAGTTTCAAAAAGATGTTTACGTGTATTATCACCTTGAGCAATTGAGAAAAGGTTTACAAAATCAGAAAAAATTAGTGGATTTTTTAAGATTAACTGGAAAAAAAATTGTTACATCTGATCAAAAACTACTCTACTTTACTGATTGTGATCAAAAATTCAAACATATTTACATAATTAAATATCAAAAAGCACCGAGAGTACATTATCATAAAAAGAAAAGTTTTCCAAAATCCATCATGGTATTGGTTACAGGGTTTATTCAATAATGTAAAAGATATATGGAGGAACATCCTTACAGAACTTATAAATTAAGCATTGATGTCCAGGTCTAAACATTGTAAACATTGTATGATAACAAAGGCCATCAAATTGAACATGGAAGAAAAAAAAGAGGAATAAAAAAAAGTTTAAAAACTTGAATAATTTTTTTTTCCCTTAAGTTATGGTAGTGTCATCAACAAACAATATTATCTTAGATATAAGAATATCTGGAATATCGTTAATTTAAATTAAAAAGAGTACAGGGGCAAGGATAGAACCCTGAGGAACCCCTGAAGTTACAGGATATGAAGAAGAGCATTGTTCATTGAGGACAACTTTTATACTACAGTTGGAAAGGAAGGATTCTTAATAATTCTAAATAATCTTAAAGATGTTACCTGATACACCGTAAGAATAAAGCTTATTGAGAAGACCAGCATGCCAAAAACTTTAGAAACAATAATAAAGCTTATTAAGAAGACCAGCATGCCAAAAACTTTAGAAATAATAAGAGTAGAAATAATCTTTCCACGTCTATATAATACATGATAAAACCTATCGGTTATTACTGTTAGCAAATCAGCTGTTGAGCGAGATAATTGAAATCCATATTGATGATTAGAAAGTAAGTTATTAGGTTCAAGATGAGAGGTTTAAAAACAAGACTCTGATAGGCACTTGTTTAATAGTTTTGATAGTATAAACGGCAGCCCCAGAGAACACTTCTGCCTATAACAGGACTATAACAGGTATGTTGTCCGGACCACAAGCTGTGAAAGATTATAAGCAGGAAATCACTGATACAGAAGCTGGAGTGATATGAATATCAAGCAATTGATCAAACTGTTTGATGGTCATATCAGGTTGAACACAACTAGTGGAATCAAGAGATGATATTGATGAAAAGTTCTTAGCAAACAATTCAGCTTTGTCTTTAAGTTGAGACAAAATCTGAACCATACAAGAGAGATGGAATGACAGATTTGCCTTTATTATTAATGCTGTTAAAGATTCTTCAGTAGTCACGAATTTATGAGATTGAATACAAAATTGCATGACCTGAGAATAGTGGGTTTTGACATTAAACAAAACCTGTTAGACAAAAATTAGGAACATAGTGTTCTTGCAATTTTTTTCTCATCAATGAGGAAAAAATTGCAGGAACAAAATGAATCAGTTTTACATAAGTAAGCTTGGGAAATAATTTAAGTTAATGAGAAAAGTAGTATAATTTCCTAAACTTTAGATGTGGTTAATGAAAAGTATTTAAACAGCACTGTAATTATTTTAACAGCACGGTAATTATTTTAATCTATTTAATAAATAAAAACAACAAACCATTCAATGATTTAAAAAAATAATTGATTTACAGAAAGAAAAAAAAATTAGATTTGGGATTTTCATTACTTTAAAGACTTTTAATTCCACTTGTTGCAACACTTATGAAGCTTTAACTATTTCACACAAAAGAAAGTCATCTCAAAGGAAAATTTATTATTTTGTTTTTGTAAGAACTTAGTAGAAATTATAAATATTACATTTAGAAACTGGGTTTTAGTTAATACTAGAACTTTATATTTTTATTTGGTGTATAATTGAATTATTTGAGTTTTAAAGATTACATTGTTAAATTATTTACAGTTTGTAAAGTTTCAATTATGATTGATGAAGCTTTAACTATTTCACACAAAAGCTTTCTATTAGTTTAATTAAAATCTGAAATACAAGATTGCGAAGATAGTGTAAGAGTTTTTATTGATCTGGCCATATTAAAAGGAACAACCTCCAAAGTGATTTTTAACAACATAACTTAGCATCTTTGGAAACTAAATTGATAGAAAATTAAAACTAATAAAGCATATTAATAATCGAATGTTTAAATTTTCCTGGAAATTAGGTACTTTTACAATTAAGGGCTTTTTTTTAAATAACTACTTAATATATTATTTTTTGACAAATTTAACAAACAATGTAAGATTCAATTTCTACACGATAATTAAGATGGTTTATTTTTTAAACATTTGAAGTATTATATGGTGCTAATTATACTAGTGTATATATATATATATATATATATATATATATATATATATATATATATATATATATATATATATATATATATATATATATATTAGGGTGTCCCAAAAAACAACATTTTTGAAAATAATCTGCTCTCACCCCCTAAATGTTTTCTATCTAATACAAAAACACTAGGTTTAAATTTTTTTTGAATAAAAAATATTTTAAGTCCCTCAAGACCCTCGAACATTTAATGGGTCCCTAATGTTTTCGAAAAAAAAGTTTTTGAAAAATATGTAAACCTGGTACTCAAATGAAGCGAAATTATATAAATATTTCATAAATAATATTCATTTCGAAATATTTTTAACTTATTTATTAAAATTATTATAAAAAACATTAGAAATGCATTTTTTTCTTAAAAAACACAATTTTTTATGTAATAAAACTAAAAATAACAATTCATTTGAGTACCAGGTTGACATAGAAGTAAAATGACAAATAAGCATTTCCACACAATATTATTACATTCCATTACAGTATTCCAAGATTTATTACTAACTTATAGTTAATTTAATTATTTGTTAAAAGTATTAAAATTGGTGTTTATGTATTAGTGCAAAAAATATATTATATATATCAATTTATATATCGTGTATTATGTTTAACATATTTTTTTTGTTAAAAATATGAAGTCCAAAAAGTCCAAAGTTTATGCCTAATAAAAAAAAATTGCTTCAAAAAAAAGCAAAACAACTCTACAAAAAAGAAAAAAAAAACTTGAAACTTGAACTTGAAACACAAGAGGAACAAAACGTGTTTTTTTGCACTCTCTCTTTTCTCTCTCTCTCTCTCTTCTCTCTCTCTCTCTCTCTCTCTCTCTCTCTATATATATATATATATATATATATATATATATATATATATATATATATATATATATATATATATATATATTTATATTTATATATATATATATATATGTGTGTGCTGATGGAACTTTTTATTGATCAATTGCTGATAAAAGCACCTTATAATTTATGTCATCATTCATATAATTTTTTACCAAAAGCTACAAAAAAAAACAACTTCATGTAAGCTTGTTTTTTTTTGTACAACTATTTGTTTTAAAATGGCCCCATTGTTAAGAATTTATCTATGCATATAAATAATTTACTTTAACTACCCAGTGGGCATGCATCACTGTAAGGATATCTAAATATTTTTGGTAGGTCCAATGTCCTATGTATATAGTCCCTAGGAAAAATTTTCTACAAATTTTCTTAAAAATAATCAAGAGCATTAAGAATGTTTTTTTTTCTTTTAGCAATACTTCTTTAGTGAAGAAACATGCAGTGTTTTCTTGAAAACAATCAAGAGAATGAGCTTTAAGAATGTTCTTTGTGTAGGAGCGCCAAGGTAAATTCAATTTTTTTTTTGTATTTTAATTAAAAAAAATAGTTTTTAGGTCTAAGACACATTCTAAGACATCTTATATGTGTTACAAAAAAAAAAGTTATTAGTGTTTTAGAAAAAAACTGCTGAACAATTTTTGTCAGTTTTAAAAGAAAACCTATAAATGTTTTTTTTCCTTAATTAGTAAAACAAAATATTAATACGAAAAAAAAGAGAAAACCAACTTACAAACTTTATTAAAAATTAATATTGAAAGACTTGTAAGTTATTTCTTTAAAGACATTATTAATTTATAACATACATCTGATTGCAACAGTTTAAGTTAGCATTAACATAATGGTCCTACAGTTTGCTCTTTGGAAATATTTTTGATACCCTATGGCTCAGTGAAAGGGTTGCCATTCATTAATAAAGAAAGGTTGATAAGATTGCGATAGTTGTTTGCAGTAAATAACTGAGTTTTAATAAAGTTAAAATTCACAAACTACTGCAAGCTTCAATCTGTTACAGAAGTGTGATCAGATTCAATCTGTTCTAAACAATCCAAACCTGTTCAAAGCGATCGAAACCTGTTCTAAGTGATCGAAAATAGAAGACCTATCTGTTCTAAACGAACAAAAAGAGAAGACTTTTTGTCAAGACAAGAGTATAAAGTTGAGTCATCAACGAATAAACCTTTACAAGTGAACTTTAGGTACTTTAGATATGAGGAAGGAAAAGTCAGGAAGAATCTTGAGGTACCCCAGGAGTTACTGGAAACGAAAAAGAGTGTTGGCCTTGAAGGATGACTTTAATAAAGCGGTTAGAAAGAAATGATTAGATTTTCTCAGAAATCTTATCAGATACAACATATGAAGCAAGCTTATGGAGAAGACCAGCATGCTCAACTTTATCGAAAGCTTTAAATATGCCAAGAACAAAAGATTCTAAAATGAAGGGGTCATAACGTTCTTCAGAGCTTTCAAAAATTAGAACCACAGATGTCATTTTCCAACAGGTAGGAAAACAGATTCAGTCCAGCACTTATCAAATAGTTTAGAGAGAATTAAAGAGAGTTCCGTAGAAAAATTTTACAGACGTTTACAGGAATGTTGTCTGGACCATGAGTAGCAGAACAGTTTAATTGAGAAAGTATGACCATAAGATTCAATAGTCAAATTAGAAGAAAAGTTCTTTGCAAATATTTCTGCTTTATTCTTGGGAGAGGTGATAAAATCGGACCCATTAATCAGAGATGGAATTTTAGACTTAATAACAGTAAAGCCTAACTTTTGAGAAAATATATGAGATTAAGTAAACTGAAAATAGTGGGGCTTAGCACCAGACAGCACCTTTTTACTTTGAATTTTTGCAATAATGAAAAGAAGTTTGTTTTCAAGAGAGTTGTTCTTTGAAAAAGATGATTGTGATTAGATATAGCAGCTGCACAAGAAGGTGAAAACCATGAAGTAGAATGAGGCTTGACTTGTAACCGAGGAAAACGAATAAAAGCTTCTGTATTTGCCTTTATCCAGGAGGTTAGGTAGGAGACACATTTGTCAGGAGAGAGAGAAAATTCATTAGCTCAAGGACCGAAACAAAGAAAATCACGAAAAGAATCTCAATCAGCTTCAAGGTAGTAGTAATTAATGGAATGTTAGTGTGAGTCCAAAGAAGAAATGCGAGATAAAAGATATTATAGAGATCATTGCATGGTCGGAACCACCTTCAAGAGAATAAGGAGAAACTGAAAACAACCGTAGGTCAAAGACCTGCCTTATTCTTGGGAGAGGTTATAAGATATAAATAGCAATTGAACTATACTTTTCCCTGTAGTGAGTCACCTAGTTATTGTTAGCACTGTAATGTCTTCAGTTAAAATCTTACTGTTTTTCTTGACAGCGATTTTGTTTTCAACATCTTTTCTGTTAGCTACCATTACTATTTGTCCACCCTAAAATTTGTATTCACTTATCAACTATGGTAATTTTTTTTATTTTATTATGGAAAGATAATTTATCTTATTACTATCTTATTATTATCCTGCAAAACAAAAGTACTTTTTGTCATCAATGACCAAATGCGATTTTGTGTTATAGAGTTGGTTTACTTGTTTCCTGCTTCTTTTCTTTGCCTTTATTTGTTGTTCTATAGTGTATTTTGGAGTCTTTTCACATTTTCTATATTCAGTATTCATTTTTTTAACTGATGACCAATTCTCGATTGATTTACACCGAATTTAAAACCTTTTTTTTTCTTGACTGATCCCTTTTCCAATTGTTGAAAAGTTTAATTCGGTTTTCTTTTCTCTAGTCCAGATATATATATATATATATATATATATATATATATATATATATATATATATATATATATATATATATATATATATATATATATATATAAATACACACTCACACATACACACACAGGGTGTTCCGAAATGGTTGACCTTATTTTGTAGCATTATTTTTATTAATTATTTTGGCAAATTTTGTTGGAATGACCTCAAATTTTCACAGCTTGTAGAAACGTTTCAAGTTTATGTGCATAAAGTTTAGTATTTCCATTTTTTCAGGTTAAGAAATGCTGCTAACTTCGAAAGAAAAGACATTTTGCGTGTTAGAGTATGCTCGAACTCAGTCATCAAAGACAGTGCAGCGTGCCTTCACAAAATTTGCAAAGAAGGCACCAACTACAAAACGAATTAGAACTTGGCACCAAATATTTCAAGAAAAGAGCTACTTATGCATACCTGGATTGCCAGTACGGTCATTAACATCAGCAGAAACAATGGAGCAGGTTCATGAAGCCTTCCTGTGTAATCCTCAGAAGAGTGTTAGGGGAGCAAGTGTGGAAACCCATATTCCACAAACAGCAGTTTGGTGAATTCTGAGGAAACGATTGCAATTTAAATCTTACAAGCTGCAGCTCGTTCAGGCCTTGAGGGCAGGTGATAAGTGACAACATCAAGAATTTTGTATTGAAATGCAAGATAAACTTGAAGAAGACGATTTTGATGATCGGCTAGTTTTTAGTGATGAATCCACGTTTCACACAAGCGGCAAAGTTAATAATTTTCGCATTTGGGGTAAAGAAAATCCTTGTGGCACAATTAAATACAAGGGGGACTTACCAAAAGTAAATGTGTTTTGTGCAATATCTAAGAAAAAAGTTTTTCTTGGAAGGAAATGTGAACAGAGATGTTTATGTTCATTTTTCTTTGAAGGAAATGTGAACAGAGATGTTTATGTTCAAATGTTTCAAAATTGGGTAATTGATCAACTGATAGAAAATGATGGCAAAAGTTTCATTTTTCAGCAGGATAGGACTCTACCTCACTGGAAGCTCACTGTACGAGCCTACCTCAATGATGTTCTGCCAGAGAGATGGATTGGTCAAGGTACTGAAAAAGAAGATTTGCTGCTGAAATGGCCACCACGATCACCTGACCTTTCTCAATATGAATTTTTCCTCTGGGGTTATGTGAAAAAAATAGTCTTCGTACCTCTTCTTTCAGCTAACATTGAAAAACTAAAACAGAGAATTACAGCTGCACTGGTAACCATTACTAAAGACATACTAAAGCGAGTTTGGCAGGAGCTCGAATACTGACTCGACGTTTGCACTAGAGTCACAGGCGGCGCTCATATTGAACATTTATGAATATCTGTCAAAAAACCAACAAATATTTGTACTTTTCTTTGTAAATATAACCAATAAAACTTATGACCTTTAACATAAAGTGTATTTAGTTTCATTAGGATCCAGGCTTGGTCGGGAAGCAGGGAGCGATCGCTCTCGAATACTGACCACAGAAATTATATTTAGTTGCGAAAAACTGGCCAGGTTTTTTAGTCGTTTTGAGAACCTTTATGTTTTTGTATGAAACAAAAAATTTTTGTTTTACGGACATACATGGAAACATAAACAACTTGAATGTTCTCAAAATATCTTGGTGCGAAAGAATAAAAAGAGTATTCGCGAACACTAAAAACCCGCTAAATTAAAGAACAAACTAATTTTATTGGTTCAAAAAATACGCTGACTAAGCGAAATAAAGTTTTAAAGCATTCTCTTGAAATGTTTTAGAAATTGTATTATTCACGATTTGTGAAGTTTTGAGATTTCTAGCATAAATTGTTTTAAAAATATATATTATTTGTTTATAAAAATAAATGCTTTAAATATTTATTAATTAAATTGTCAAAATTTTAAAAGTTTATTATAAATTATAGATTTTATTAGTATATTCTTACTTTTTATGTAAAAAGTATGTATTCTTTATGTAAATGTAATTGTGTGTATCTGTTTTTTATCGTAATGTATCTTTTAAAGCAATTATTATGATTTAAACAAAGGCTTACACAAATATTTGCATTTTCAATGAAGTTATAATCGTCCAAATTAATAAAATTAATTATGTAACAAACATATAAGAAGTTTCTGGTTACTAAACACAAACAATGCATATGAAGTAACTCGCGGATGAACAAGCTCCGCGTACGACAGAACACAAATATTTATAGCAAATAACTAGATACAAAGAAAAGTTTCTAGATATTGGTTTACTGACTCTAATTATTTTCGCTTAAGTTGCCATTCTTAAAACTCGTTATACTTTTTTCTGCTTTGAATACTAATTAAAGTTAAAAAGCCCACTCACTAAACATCATCAGCGATATTGTGAAGCAGTTTCGCTTCCTCGTCATTAAGTATTCTTAATCTTTTTAGTTGATTTCTATTTTGTTAATTTAATTTCTGTAGTATTTCAATGATTTAACTATTTCATTTTTTTTATCTTACTTAGAAGAATTGCTTCAAATATGTTAAATTTTTCAAACTACGCGAAACATAAAATAAGTATTAAAAAAATAAACTTTTTTATTTATAAAATAATTTAGCTTAAATAAAACTAAAACTTGCAAACTTTGTTAATAAAGAATATTTGTTTCCTTTTTAAACAATCGTAAGTTGTTACTTTATATAAAAAACATCGCTTAATTTTATAAAAAAATTATAAAAGAGCGATGTTTCAAAAATATTTGTTCTAAAGGTAATTTATTTAGCTTTAATTTTTTTTTTGTAATTGTCTCTCATCGGTCCAATTAATATTGATCGCTTTTTTTTTTTTTGATTTTAAAAATGACTAAAAAATCTGGCCAGCTTTTCGCAACTAAATATTATTTACGTGGTCAGCGATCGCTCTCGCTTCCCGA